TTCTGCTATGAAGTCATTTTCCCCAAAAAGTGCTGTAAAACGTGCGGGGATGCCAAAGATTTTTACAAATCTGGTATCAGTTATGCGTTAATTTTTCTAATTTTTAAAATAATTTTCATGATATGGTAAAGAAAGATATTTGATATTTAATTTTTTCGTTAGTAGTATGCGTGTAAATAAATACACGCCGATCAAAGTAACACTTCTATGCGTTCGAATCCAGTCAATGCAGCTTCATTGCCAGGAACCTTAACCCTTACTCCATCACGTTATATGCTCAAACTACAACAAATCAATGCAATTTTAGATAGATAAGTAGATAGGTAATTAATAATAAAACTTAATATTTTTGAAATTTTTTAAGGGAACTGTACTTACGGTGACAGACCGGACTTAAACTGTTCGAGAATCGTTGCGACAGACTGCTATAAGAGGTACACTGAATTTACTTGCTGCAAGACGTGCGCGGATTTCAGAGGGGGTTTAGCCATAGGTCTGAAAAATAAAACTATCCTGATAACTTATTAAAGTATTTTAAAAATACGAGAATAAAAGAATGAGTGAATGAATGGATGGATTGATAGATGGGTGAAAAATAAATGAATGAATCGATGAGACGAATGAACGAGTGAACAAAAAATGAATGTTCAAACAAACAATTGGATGAAAAATTATAATACACAAATAATGACATCTCAAGATGATCCTTGCCGATACGGTGATCGTATAGCGAACTGCTCTAAAGAGAATTTCCCGTCGTGCTACCAAAGTTCGTACTTTAATAAATGCTGCAGGACGTGCGCAAATGCCAGGAATAATGCGATGCCAGGTTGCGTTTTTATATAAAAAAAAGGATTTTATTACTAATATTATTAATAATCAAAAATTTAAATGTCATAAACAAAATGTTGAATTTAATTATTGGATAAGATGTAGAATATAGATTGGGGCATTTTTCTATGTCACTAGACACGATACAAAGTTTTTTTTTCACATTTTTGTGAATAAAATGGATTAAAAAAAAAGTTATACGACCTCCGAATTATCTTTAAATTTGAATTTTGTCGATGCCTCGACTGATTAAACACACCTAAATTATTCTCTAAAGTAGTGATTTTAATTTGGAAAAAGGTTGCGAATATGGAAGTAAATCTACGTACTGCAAGGATTCGCTGGCCAAAAACCCAAATGCTTGTGAAAAGAGTTCGGTTTTTAAAGAGACCTGCTGTCTCGAGTGTTCAACCAGGGACAAAATTTGAAGAAAAAAATGACACTAAGATGATATCTGTAGTGAAGATGATGATGGTGAAGATGGTGAAGATGATGAGGATTGAATATACTCGTTTAAAAAAAACTTATTGTAGTTGTTTCATTGAAATAAATGAACGCTTGACTTGATGGACCGTTAGAAGCATGAAATAAATATACTAAACGATTGGCTTAACCATGTTTTGTTTAGTTTGAGATAATTAATAAATAAGCAAATTTACAAACAGCAGTAGTAGTAGCAGTAGTAGTAGCAGCAGCAGCAGTAGTAGTTGTAGTAGCAGTAGTTTAAGTAGTAGTAGTAGTAGTAGTAGCAGCAGTAGTTTAAGTAGTAGTAGCAGTAGTAATAGTAGTTGTAGTAGCAGTAGTTTAAGTAGTAGTAGTAGCAGCAGCAGTAGTTTAAGTAGTAGCAGCAGTAGTAGTTGTAGTAGCAGTAGTTTAAGTAGTAGTAGTAGTAGCAGCTGTAGTTTAAGTAGTAGTAGTAGTAGTTTAAGAAGTAGTAGCAGCAGCAACGGCAATAGTAGTAGTAGTAGTAGCAGTAGTTTTGTATAAGTTTTAAAAACTTTCCAAAGTTTATCAATCTTACAAGTATGTAAATTAGTGTATCAACTGCACTTCTAAGGAAAAATTCGAATGTCCTGACGTCCGTCGTACTATATTTTGAAGTATTAAACTTGAAATACTTCTAGAAAACTATTTCTCATTTTTCAAGTAGTCTACAATTACTTATTGACTCTTATTGAGCTGCTGAATAACATTTCTGAAATGAATTCAGTTATCCTGAATATATGTTATTGTAATGTGTAAATAAAAGTTATAAGCTTGAACTACTACTACTACAAATAATAACAACAATAACATCATCATCATCATTATCAACAACAACAACAACAACAACAACAACAACAACAACAACAACAACAACAACAACAACAATAATAATAATTACGAAATATTTTCACTTATTCTCCCTGGTATTTGAAAAACGCCTTTCGATCGAGTTAAGAGCAGTGCACAGAGAGTTTTTTAAAAATATTTTTCCCCAACAAAAATTTCAAAAATAATTTGGCTGTATTTATCTATAATTAATATAATTATGAATGTATAATTATATATATATATATATAATATACATACATACATACTTTATTAGAATCTAACATTTGACATTTTTTATTTCATCAAATCAAAACAAAGAAATCAAAGAAATGATGTCAATATATATATTTATATATATTTATACTTATATATATATATCTATTTATGCAGTATAAATAGACGTGTTCAAATTAATTGTAATGCTTTATTGGTTGTAGTGGTCTCTCACTCTTTATATGAGTCATAAACTATTATTAATTTGTTATCAAAGTTATTTATTACGCAATTACTGTTAATTATTTTTAATTATCTTCTCAAATAAATAAAATTTAATCAGTATTAATTAAATTATTATTGTTAATATTTTTGCTAGGAAAGTTTTATGACTATAGTCATTATGAGGCGAAGTTTTGCATCACAAGTACTTAAAATTTTGATCCTGTCTCTAGTGTTGGAGGTTTCACAATCGGTAAATGCTTTTGAAAACGGTTCGTATAGATCTATCCATGCTGTTTTTGATAGCCCTTACGTTTAAGGCGTCTTGTCTGTTGTCTCGACTTTACCGGTATCGAATGCAAGGAAGATCCATACTTGATATGTGTGTGTGTGTGTGATGTGAGACAACTTATGTCTAGTCACATAGCCTCGTGTGTGTGTTTATTTGTGAGTGTGTGTGTGTGATATCTTTCCGTACTTTTATTTTGTTATTTCTAGAACTTTCTGCCGATGACAACCGGAGAGATGTAGTAGTTAATGTGTTTGTCTTCGTTGATTTCTCTATATATAACAGGCAAGTGAACATTTTATTTATTAACTATATTACTTTAAATGAAATAATTACGTAAAAAAAATAATAAAAATTATAACAATAATAAGTTCAACAATGAGTAATGGGATAGCGTAATAGTTAAGGCGCTTGGTTAGCTGGTTCGACTGAAAAGCGATCCCAGACTATCACTCCCCATAAATCATAAATCAAACTAAATATTAACTATATGAAAAATGAAAAATAATTATATTTCAATAAAATAATTATATATATATATATATATAATTATATTATAACAAAATTTTATTTATTATTATTTTTCTTGGGTAGATGGATGGAAGAACTAAAAGAGAAACAGAAGACTTTAGATTTTCTGAAATCTTTTTTCACACATGTTATATCTGAGGTGATGTAGACTAAATAATTTTTTTCACAATTTTAAATTTAATTATCCATAAAAATAATTTACAAATACAGTCAGAGGCGTAACCAAATATGGGTTTTAGGGGCTAAAACACTACCCGCAATGAGAATTTAGATGGGGTAATGTGGAACAGCCCTATTTTCCCCGATAAAGTTTTTGGATTACGCCTTCGAATATAACAAATAATTATAATTAATAATTTTAAGTAAATATTTCATTACATTTATTAAATAATTAATGATTTAAATAAATGTTTTTAATTTATAATTTTATTTTAAATATTATTTTTAATTTTGATTTCAGACAAATAAGATTTATGAAGATTTGGACGAGGAAAGATATGCGATTGAAGTTAATCTGGCAGACCTCTACATTGCTGAGGTTGGAAAAATTCCCTGGAAAATTCTTCTTCATTATCTATTTAAATCAATTACTCAATCAATCATCCAATCAACCATACAATCAATCAACCAACCATTCAATAACTGTGTGTGATTTATATAGGACCGAAATCTAAATAACTAAGTTTCCCTTCTTTCTTACAGAAATTATAACTTGAAAACCTGTAAAAAGACTTAAATCTCTTCAACGTATTATAAATAGAGAAAGAGAGAGAGAGAGAGAGAGAAAGGGAGTGGTGAAAGAAAGAGAGAGAGAGGTTACCAAGATTTAGAACCAATCAATTAGTCATCAAGTTGCATATTACGTAGTATCATTTAAATACAGCAAAAACATACTTGCGTGTATGAATCAACTTTGCCTATATTGTTAGCAGAAAGTGCACGGAATCTATTTGAATTCGAACTACGCCACACATTATGAATGTTAAAACTTTTACAACACAGACACCAAAAGACTCACAATTCATCGAAGACAGCAAAGATGGTCAGGACAGTATTGATTCTTCGAGGGCCCTCAAGGCCTTCAAAGAATGGGTCAAAGTCAACGGGTCAAAGTTCAATAAGTTCAACGTACCGGCTGTTTTTACCAAGTAACGATTTTGTTGGTAATGTTTCAAATAAAAAACCAATTTAAAAACATTGAAAGCAGCTTGTTGATTGATACTTTCATCGATTCAGAATCCAATTTCACAAATAATATTATAAATAATATTTCACCTAGTAACATTCTTGAGGTTAAATATATATATATATATATATATATATATATATATATATATATATATATATAAATAGAAAGAAAGAAAAAAAAGAAAGAAAAAAAGAATACTAATAATAATTATTATTATTAACGGTATAAATATGATTTGAAAACTTGTTAAGAAAGAAAGAAAGAAAGAAAGAAAGAAAGAAAGAAAAAAACAAAGAAAGAAAAAAACAAAGAAAGAAAGAATAAAAAGAAAGAAAGAAAGAAAAAAAGAATACTAATAATAATTATTATTATTAACGAAATAAATAAATAAAATGAAAAAATAGCTACAACATGGGGAAGAACAAGCAAGGGCTGGCTGGCCTAAAATCAGCATGTTCTGAGCACGGAGCACTCATCAGTAGATGTCAAGGCCTACTTGCTACTACAAACACGATGGCCCATGAACTTGGACACGTGTTAGTTCCTTCTTATTATTATTTATTTATTTAATTATTACTGAATTATTATTCATTATAATTTATTCAGTCAAATAAATTATCTTCATTTTAGATAAATATACATGTTACAGTTACTTCGACTACTACTGCTGCTGCTACTACTACCACCACTACTACTTCTTCTTCTACTACTACTACTACTACTACTCTTACTACTACTACTACTACTATTACTACTATTACTACTACTACTACTACTACTACTACCACTACTACTAATAATAATTATAATTATGACAAATAAATACTAAAATTATAAATAAAATAATAAAAAAGTCATTTTTTTCTGAATCCTAACCTTTCTTCTAGTCTTGGGGCAGAGCACGATGGAGATGGAAACAGATGCAACGCCGAAGACGGGTTCATCATGGCTGCTGTCTCGGAAAACTCGCCCAAGAATGAAAATAAATTTTCCCGCTGCTCCAAAAATTATTTTGAGGAATTATTTGATTCTTTGGATAGGTTAGTTTAGTGAGTTAGGTTTGAAATTAGGAAAGAGTTAATGGATTAAGTGGGAATTTGGGAAATTTTGTGATAATTTTTACATCCGTTATTCACTGAGTTAATTATAAGCATAGTATAAAAGATGTTTATTTCATTTATAAAGTTGAAGTTGTCAGTTTTTCAAAAATATCGGGATAAATTTTACTTAGATATGTGGCAACAATTTTGAAAAAGATTATTTTTCAACTAAAAATTTGTAAATGGTCGATTGAAAAATAATTCAAATTTGAATAATCCATTAATGAATTATGACTTAGAATCAAAAAGAATCGTCGTTTTTAGCTAAAATTAAATTAACTTTTTGAATTTAATTAATTTTATTTATTAATTCCACCAAATTTCATTTTTTGAGATCACGAAAAGGTAACTGCTTACTGAGAAAGCATAATCCGAGAAGTAGAAACCCATTTTCGGAATATTTGAAAATGTCTCCGGGTAGAATCATAGACCCACACCTTCAATGCAAGCTCCAGTATGGTCCTTCGTCTTACTACTGCCATGTTGGTGTAATTTTATCTGGTTAATTAATTTCCTATTTACAGTTCGCTTTTTGGTAACTCTCATAAGTATCTACAACTGTCACATTGTGTATGAGATCCATGTAAACCGACGTATGTGACGAGTTTGGATTTCTTTGTAATCGAACGCAGTCAGTGCAACAGTAGTGATAAGCACGTTAACCTTTACACCACAGCGCTGACTCCGCTAGAAATAGTTCAAAATTTTGTATAAAAATGTTAAACGTGGAATATTTTAGATAACTAAATAATTCTTCTAGTTTGTTTGCAGCTAAATTTATTATACGGTACCAATACATAATTTTCTATTTTTCATTTAATTTCGTTTGTATTTTTTTCTCTATAATCACCATCACCTTTAAAAATGTTGGATAAAAATTAGATTGGTTCGGACGATTGCACGAAAATGCATTGCAAAAATCCGGACTCTGTAAATTGTTTGGAGTCCCTGATAGTGAAAGCCTACCCGAACACAACGTGTGGAGCTGGCAGGAGCTGTCAGAAGAGGCAGTGTCTTCCCGATCCGATGACTGAAACTGATAAGGGTAGACTCGATTTTTTTTTACTTTCGGATTAATTAGTTTATTTTTTAGCAATTTTCAAAAAAACAAAATAATTTATATAAAACAAACAAATCTACCTGTTATTTTTATTAATAATCCAAAATACAACTTACCGAACTTAAAATCAAAATATTATTTTGTAAAACCTTCCGAAAAATTGCCTACAGACTCATGTTTCTTTGGGGACGAACCCGGTCCATTCATATTAAATGGCGAACATTATGAATGTTTGAAGGATAATGTGAGATTTTGCTACTATAAGGATTTTGAGAAAAAATGCTGTAAGACATGCGCTGAGGCTAAAGACCATTCGAAACCAGGTTTATTTAATATCAATTTTTCTCATATTTTTTTACATATTTCTTGAAATCTTAAATTGAAATAGGCATTGAAACTTTCAAGTTTAACGAGAATAATTTTTTTCAAATTGAAAATAATTCTTCTCAGAAAAGTGCAAGTTTGGGGACCGACCGAATTTGGTAAACTTCGAAGGGACGCCTGTCACATGCTCGAAAGACAGCATCAGCATGTGCTACTACGATTGGTATGAGCAAAAGTGCTGCAAAACGTGCGCAGAGGCCAAGGATACATCAAAATCTGGTTCGTTGGAGACGTTTTTTGGATTTAAAATTTTTGATTTTTGGGAATTAAATTTTTTTAAGGTTTGTAAGTAAAAATGTTGAAATATTTTCAGGTTTTTAAAAGTTATGTTGATTTTTTAAACTTATAATTGTCAAATTTTGTGAAAGAAATATCATGTTAGAGCTTTTTTACTTGATAAGAGTAGAAATTTTGTAATTATTTTGTTGTAGGTCTAGTTAGAACTAGAAAAACTTCAATTTTTGAAGTTAACCACATACACACTCCCACACACACACACATACACACACACACACACACACACACAGACACACACACACACACACACACACACACACATACACACAGCTTCTTGCCCATACGGCGACCAGCCATTCAAAACTAACTTCGATGGTGAAATCATAAGCTGCTCAAAGAACAGAACCAACATGTGCTATTACGACTGGTACGAGAAACAGTGCTGTCTGACCTGCACAGAAGCTAGAACAAATTCAAAATCGGGTTAATATACTTCGATGATTCTTCTTTCAAGTCAAAATGTATTGGCTTATTGAGGGTGACAATCGCCCGAGGCAAAAGGGCCTGCCGACAGGCCCCCTCTCTGATTGCTTATAATGTCTTTAATCCATATTTTCACAACTGCATACAAACATACCGCAGTAAGCAATAGAAAACTTGCATACAAAAAACAACATAAATAAACTTAACTAAAAATCTCGTACTAGCGAGAGTCACGTAATCATATAGAAATACATTAGAAACATTGTTATAGAAAATATTTGGATAAAGTAATTTGATGCATGCCTTAAAGTTTAAAATGTTTTCAATGCTCGAACGCTCTGAGGTTCTCTGTGACCACCCATCATTACGTCACTGACATAATAATAATAATAATATCAACAACAAATAATAATATAAAATTGAAATAATACATTTATTATATTATTTTAAAACTATGACCAGCAACCTGCCCATACGGAGATAAACCGTTTAAAACGAATTTTGATGGGGAAATCGTCGAATGTTCCAAGGATCGAACGGACTACTGCTACTATGAGTGGTATGAGAAACAGTGTTGTCAGTCCTGTGCCGAAGCTAAGAAAGGTTTCTGGATATTTTGTGATAATTTTTTTGGTTTTTCGCAAAAGTCTGTGAAAATTTTTCAGTTATGGTTGTTTGAATTCCATTTTTTGACGGGTCTATAGTACCAAATTTAGTTAAAAATACCGTTAATTATGATTCTAATGCTTCAAACTGCGTCTAAACTACACATTTTCCCTAAATTATCAAACAAATCGCGGCAAAACAATAAAATTTTCACCATTCAAATTGAAATTATCCCATAAACCCATTGAGATCCCACCTGTCCGTATGGGGATAAACCAGGATACATGAGATTCAACGACGAGCGAGTCGATTGTTCAGCAAAAAATTCAAATTTTTGCTACTACGATTCATTTGCCAAGAGGTGCTGCAAGATGTGTGCTGAGACTAAAGATGTGACCAAACCAGGTTCTAATATGGAATATATTTTTTCCTTGCCAAAAAATAAAATTTTTAGTTTAATTAACTGTTTTATTTTGAAATTTTGAAAAGTTTATATATCGAATGTGTTTTATACTTGTAAAATTTTAATAATTAGAATTAATTTCGGTTATATTTATAACGATTATAGGGACATTTATATAGCGTTCAATTTTGCTCTTGAACGAACCTTTCAAATAGATCAATCCTATGATCTATCCAAAAACTTGTAGAAATTGAAATATAGTTGGAACTATGACCAATAAAGAGCAGAAACAGACTAAAAAATAAATCCAAACAATATAACTATTACGATATACTGAAAATTTTTGAAAAAATTCCCGAAGTACGAACCAAAAACGCAAAAAACAGACAAAAAAACATGGAAATTAATCAATAAAAAGTATTATTCTCACATATTTTTAGGTTGCGAGTACGGTAACAAAGACAGAATGTGCAAATCATATTTGTCGAGGGGTCCTTTGGCTCGCCTTTGCTCAGGTGCTGGCAACTTCAAAGACTTATGTTGTCTGGAGTGCCTAAATTATGAATAAACTGGAATATTTTGTTATGAACTTTATTATCATGTAATAATAATTATCGTGCTGTTTTTTAATATAGATATATATCATTACAATACAGATATCTGGAGATATCATTAATTTAATTGTGGCCGGTCTATCATACTATATTGTAAAATTTAGATATATATCATTGAAATTGGGTATCAATCAATGTACGTCATTTAGAAGTATCACGTAATTTAGTTTTTTGGTGAATTTTTTCATTATGTGAGATGAATGTCGGTTTTCAAGATCACTTCTGTGGCTATAGAATTGTCATTAAATTGTCATTAATCAAACTGCATGGTTAAAAAATGTGTTTGGAAAAAATGTTTGGTTGGTTGGATGGATGGTTGAATGGATATATAGATGTGTGGATGGATGGATGTGTGGATAGATAGATGTATGGATAGATGGTTGAATGGATGGATGATTGGATGGATTAGCGAGTCGTGTAATGTCATGCCGTTTTTGTGTTATATTCGTTCGTTTATTTTGGTTTAATTCTTTTTATTCTTCAAATAAATAACTCGATCAAAATTAAATTAGACTTTTAAGCCAAGCAGTGATTTAACTAATAACTAAACAACAATGATAGCACTAATAACAATAAATAACCTCAATAATAACAAAATCTACAATGTAATTTACATAGGTACTAGGCCTATAACCTCAGGTACGCCGTGTAAATAATCCCACAATTTTTGTAGAAATTTTTATAAATTATATCAAAATTAACTTCAAAACACCTCAAATAAAATCATAATTTTTTTGGTTTTCAGAATAAAATTCCCTCTCTTGCAATTTTTCAAAATTAAACTTGGCATGATGCCGAAGGATTATCAGTATAAGTATCGGGAGCTCGGACAAACCCTGTGGTATTCGTATAATCGGAAACATTATATTTAGTATCGTAGGTTTTCCCGTAAATTGAACTATGGCAGATATCATTGAAAACTCTTTTCAAGAATTGGTTGTGGAAATAATGGACGTCTCGCTTGAAGTTTGTGTGGACTGGTGATTTGGACGACATGGAAATTGTTACGTAATGATGAGTTGATGTGTTGAATCTCGGCCAGTCCGAGCTGTCTATCTGCTTTGGCTTGCTGGAAAATGAAAAAAAAAAACTTCATGTATTTGACTATCGTATTCGCGTTCAATTTCTCACACACACACACCACGTACGTACACACACACACACACACACACACACACACACACACACACACACACACACACACACACACACACACACGTACGTACACACACACGTACGTACACACACACACACACACACGTACGTACGTACGAACACACACACACACAGAGAACTTTTTTTCACTCATCTATCCATCTAATTAACCTTCTTTCGGCAATGGATATCCACAATTTCATCATCTTTTTAGAGAGTTTCATATCATCAGATGTCACGTTAGTCCAATTGTAATTCCAGAAGTAGTATTCAACGCGATCATTCCCAAAGGGAACGCCAAAAAAGAAGTTCAAATCGAAGGAGTGCATGCTTCTGGGATGTTTGAAGTGCCACATGTATACATCTGAATTGGTTTTCGACATGCTATTGGCAATCAGCGTATGAGGAGCTATCATCTGGAAGTCACTTAGCAGCTAATCGGGGGATGGGTTATGTGATTGCTTAGTGAGATTCATGTAACATTGCAAGTGGCTCTGCGTATGTCAGATCAGAGCAGCAATAATAAAGACTAAAAAAACTCTTAGAGATCTGAAGTAATTAGTATTAATGAATACTAAACAAATAATGCTGATTTAAAAAAATGAATACAATAAATACAACTAAAAATACAACAACTGTTAGAAATATAAAATCATAACGAATACTAAACAAACAAGCATTTATTGCTAGGCTGACTCTTTAACTTTTTTGTGAATAAAATAGATTTTAAAAAAAATGAATACAATAAATACAACTAAAAATGCAACAACTGTTAGAAATCTGAAACATTTAGCATTAATGCTAATAGTACCTTGGCGTAATTATAAACGATCATTGTTTGTTGCAGACTTTTAGCTTTCCTATATTTATCTGACTCCTCCCAGTCGATATAATACTGCATTAGGATATTACGGGCTATACGCACGTGTCTGTCCTTACATTCGAAAGCTCTGTTTTTTTTATATATAGAAAAAATGGTTAGTTGGTTGGTTGAATGGATGGATGGATGAATGGATGTGTGGATGGATAGATGGATGAGTGGATGGATAGATGGATGAAAAAATGTGTGGATGGATAGATGGATGAGTGGATGTGTGTGTGGATGGATGAATAGATGGTTGAATGTATGGATGATTGGATGGATTAATGAGATGATGGAAAAAGGGAATGAAATGTTGAATGAAATAGTAGACGAATGAATGGATGGTGAACAAATAATGAATGAATGATTGAATGAAATAAAGATTTAATGAATGAATGAACGAACGAACGAATGAATGAATGAATGAACGAACGAACGTATGAATGAATGAATGAATGAATGAATGAATGAATGAATGAATGAATGAATGAATGAATGAATGAATGAATGAACGAACGAACGAATGAATGAATGAATAAATGAATGATTGAATGAATGAATGAATGAATGAATGAATGAATGAATGAACGAACGAACGAATGAATGAATGAATAAATGAATGAATGAATGAATGAATGAATGAATGAATGAATGAATGAATGAACGAACGAACGAACGAATGAATGAATGAATAAATGAATGAATGAATGAATGAATGAATGAATGAATGAATGAATGAATGAATGAATGAATGAATGAATGAATGAATGAATGAATGAATGAATGAATGAATGAATGAATGAATGAATGAATGAATGAATGAATGAATGAATGAATGAATGAATGAATGAATGAATGAATGAATGAATGAATGAATGAATGAATGAATGAATGAATGAATGAATGAATGAATGAATGAATGAATGAATGAATGAATGAATGAATGAATGAATGAATGAATGAATGAATGAATGAATTACCTATCCATCATTTCCAGCGTTGACTTGTGAATGAAAAACAAACAGTGCGGCATCAACTTATCAATGTAAAAATCTGTGAATGAATAAATGAATGAATGAATGAATAAATGAATGAACGAATGAATGAATGAATGAATGAATAAATGAATGAACGAATGAATGAATGAATGAATGAATGAATTAATGAATGAATGAATGAATGAATGAATGAACGAATGAATGAATGAATGAATGAATGAACGAATGAATAAATGAATTAACAAATGAACAGACGAATAAACAATCTCAAGAATAAGTAATAACTGAATTTTGAATTTATGTATATGCATCTTGACCTCATCTAACCAATAAAATAATGAAAATCATTTTAAAATATTCCTTAGTCCTACTAACCTAACTCTTTTTCCACAACCCCAGTATAGTAGGGGACTTTGTGGTACCTTCCTGCCTCAATGGCGTCTATAGGCTGCTCAAGCAACGGTTCGAAACCGACTATTGGTCTAAATTTCGTCCCGAGATAGGTATTCAATGAAATCTGCTCGTTTGGAGATACAGATGAATGAATAGATAGTTAATGATGAATGAGTGACGGAAGAAAAAACGAAATAAACAATGAATGAATGAAAGATGAGATAATGAATGAATGAATGAATGAAAGAATGAATGAATGAATTTATTGCGTACGCGTTTTCATCTATTTATAGCTATATGTACATAGAGTTGTATATGCACACAAAAGTATTACCAATAAGTGGATGAAAATTGAAGAAAACACACAAAAATAAACACACAAACAAACAAACAAACACACACACAAAAGACGCAAGACACAAACAAACACAAACTTCTGAACATTTCTTCACTAGATTTTCATAAGGAACGGTCTTCAGACACTTCTTAATGGCAGTCACGTTAATATTGACATCTTCAGTTTCGTTGGAGTTCCTGACAACATAGACAAGCGTCAAGTTGGCGCCTGTAGTCGCGTTAGAGGCACCGGCTAAATCAGCACTAAGCGACTCGTTTGCGACTTTTCCACTGCAGTTAACCAGAGTGGCGAATTCGTTCAGATAGTGATGGAAATCCATTGAATCGCTTGTGTAGTGGCTATAAAAGGATGTAGCCGAACCGCTGTGGGCAATGACTGCCCAAAATAAACCTATTTGTCGGTGTGTTACGAGACATATATGCGCAC